TAAAAAGATAGTATTTATTAAGTTTTTACCAATATTCGTGCAATTTAGTTACGTATTTCTACCCAGTAGCAACTAAAATTAAGGGTTGCAAATTACGCTACCCCTACACATCTGGTCAGTAGTCCCGCAAAAAAATCCTTTCAGAAACTTGTATTTTTTTAACACAGTGGTACTTGGGATACAGAATTTTTCAGGCTTAACATTTATGTCTTTAATTTTCTAAATTAGATGATAAAATGATGTGCAGCTAAAAACAATACTGCAAGACCCGTCACTTGTTTTTCTATACTCGGGAAATCATATAAAGAATCTGCCTTATATTGAAAAAAAATAGTAGTTTTTAAACAAGAAATAGAGTATACACTACTTGTTAAAGTTTTATGTTGACTTAAAATTCATTCACAAACTATTCTTTATGTAGTGAAAGAATACAGTTCAGACATATAGGTTTCAAATACTTTGGTTTTGTTTAAAGAAAATTTTTAAAGTCATAAACAATGTCAAAATGAAGATCAATGTGTAACACTTAGCATATATGTATATGTGTTCGAAACTAGTCTTCAGATTTCCTTAAAACTGTACAAATGGAAGTTCTGAACATGTGAATGATAAATCTACAGTAAATTATGCCTAACTTTTCCAGTTGTCTTCTGGTTAATTCATTAGATCAAGCAAGGTTTTTTAAATTTCTTTTTTTTTTTTATCAAATATTCACTGTAAGGATAATCTAATAGGAATATTCTGAACAACAGTGAATAGACACACCAAGTATAAACTTTCAGTTATCTATTATAATGGCATTTAAACTATCTATTACAATTCATGATTGGGTCAAGTGCTGCCTTGGTGGTTAGTGTTGTGTACTGTAAATCTGAGGTTCCATGGTTTTCATTTTGTTACTAAAAAAATTGCATTCCTTACTTTGGGCCTGTAGCCTGTGGGTGCATTCTAAGAGTGATTGTAAAATCCTGTTATTTAGCCTAACAGCTGTTGGTGGTGAATGATATTGACTGGTGAATGATGTTGACTAGCTGCCTTTCCTCTAGTCTGTCACTTCAAGATTAGGAATGACAAGCATAAATAATCTTTGCGTAGCTTTAGACATAATTTAACAAACAAGCAATCAAACAACAATATTCCTATTAGTTATAAGGTAGTTACATTTATTCTGGATATACATGCTGGTTTTGCAATCCCCATTTGAGTTTCAAGATATTACCAGTCTCAGGAAAGAGATTTGATTGGTCATTAAAGCAGTCAGCACATGTCAGCTGACTGGACTCGCACAATCTAGCCTCTGTAGTTTTGCCAGCATCATGATTAAAAATGCTTTTCCCAAATGGTTGCTCAATGGAGTTAATAATAAAACAGAAATCATGTAAACTGTAGGTGTTTTTTTTTCCACGTTTTTAAAATTCATCCATGGTTAACACAAATGTTAGATCTTTTGGCTTCTAATACTTTCAATATTATTTTAACCGTAACTTTTAGTAATATTCTGTCAAAGTTAATGATGTTTTAACTTTTATCAAATAACTGGCTAATATAAAATTGTTGTTACAGGTAGTTAAGATTAGTTTGACATTTGAAAATACTTGAAAAGAGACCATGATACAGAGGATTTATACATATAACTAGGACATATGCATATTTATTAACACTTAGTACATGAAATAATTAATTATGACACTGTTACAGGTGATTTTAGGGAGGAATGATGTTCTTACTATTAGAAGTCTAAAATTTACTAGTGGAAAATAACTATTTGTTAGTGTCTTCAGATGTTAAGGTGTGTTTACATAAAACTCCTTTGGATAACATTATCAGTCATAGACCAAACTAACCTGACGAAAGGTATTTTAGTTCAAAACTGAAGTAGATATGGTGAGATGTTGTTATGTGTTTTTTATTTAAGAGTAGAGCATATGGTAGATATGGTGAGATGTTGTTGTGTGTTTTTTATTTAAGAGTAGAGCATATGGTAGATATGGTGAGATGTTGTTATGTGTTTTTTATTTAAGAGTAGAGCATATGGTAGATATGGTGAGATGTGTGTTTTTTATTTAAGAGTAGAGCGTATGGTGAGATGTTGTGTGTTTTTTATTTAAGAGTAGAGCATATGGTAAAATGTGTGTTTTTTATTTAAGAGTAGAGCATATGGTAGATATTGTAAGATGTAGTGTGTTTTTTATTTAAGAGTAGAGCATATGGTAGATACGGTAAGATGTTGTAGTGTGTTTTTTATTTAAGAGTGGGACATATGGTAGATATGGTGAGATGTTGTTGTGTGTTTTTTATTTAAGAGTAGAGCATATGGTAGATATGATGAGATGTTGTTGTGTGTTTTTTATTTAAGAGTAGAGCATATGGTAGATATGGTGAGATGTTGTTGTGTTGTTTTTTATTTAAGAGTAGAGCATATGGTAAGATGTTGTGTGTTTTTTATTTAAGAGTAGAGCATATGGTAAGATGTTGTGTGTTTTTATTTAAGAGTAGAGCATATGGTAGATATGGTAAGATGTTGTGTGTTTTTTATTTAAGAGTAGAGCATATGGTAGATATGGTAAGATGTCATTGTGTGTTTTTTATTTAAGAGTAGAGCATATGGTAGATATGGTGAGATGTAGTGTGTTTTTATTTAAGAGTAGAGCATATGGTAGATATGGTAAGATGTTGTAGTGTGTTTTTTATTTAAGAGTAGAGCATATGGTAGATATGGTGAGATGTGTTGTGTGTTTTTATTTAAGAGTAGAGCATATGGTGGATATGGTAAGATGTTGTGTGTTTTTATTTAAGAGTAGAGCATATGGTAGATATGGTAAGATGTTGTAGTGTGTTTTTTATTTAAGAGTGGGACATATGGTAGATATGGTAGCTTCTAAAGTATTAAGCTGCAGAGTTTAAATATTTCTTATAAACAACTGGATATACAAAAAATAATGTTGGTTACTACCACTGGGATAGGTACATGTTGTAGAGGTTGGAAAACATTGAGTGAGAGAATATCAGAAAATATGAAACTAAAGGAAATTTTAATCTTTCATTTTTGAATATCAACTGTTATTGTAGTTTCTTGCTGACATTTCTGTTCAGTGTGTATTGTGCGTGTCTATGTGTTTGTGAGTCATGGTTCAGTGTTATAAACATGTACGTGAAATTAAACATTAATGAATGTTTTAATGAGGATTATGCATTCCTTGTTTTTTATTTTCTGCATCATGCCATTTCAATTTGTGTAAAATTTGTGTTGTCAAATTTTATGGTTAATGGAAGCTTTAAGTTTCAGAATCTTATGAGTAATTAGTCTTTTTATGTTTGCTTCATTGAAGCTAATATATTTTATGTTGTGTTTCCTAGTGTATTCACAAGTACAAAGAAAGCAGCACTATACGTATATATATATATTTATACATACATACATATATATATATACATTTTTACTGTGAATGTAATTTTGTAGTTTATTTTTTAATACTTGTTTCTCACTTAACCCTAAAATTACTGATGTAACAGACCTCTGTGGGTTTTTAAACATTATTTGGTGAGTTCCTTAACTTTAGGTGTTGTAACAAGTAAAAAAATAAAATTCCTCAATACGATACAATATGTGGACTCCACCAGTAGTGTATGATGTACAAAAGAAGTTAGTAATTTGAGGGTTAATCTCTCTATTGTTTGTCGTAAAGTATGACAAATAGTACAGAACGAAGACATTTGAGTTTGAAAACTAAAAATTAATTTACTGTTGATTTTCTCATTTATTTTAGAAAAAAGCTTGCTTTTTTTGCTAGTTACAGTTTATTCTAAATAAACTGTTCTGTTATATATACATATTATATCTTTTGCAGTGCTTTTATTTTGCTTTTTAACATAGGCTTTTATGCAGGCTTAACATTGTTAGTGGAAAGCAATTTTGTGCAGCCAAATCTCTATTTTGTGACTTGTCATTTTTGGTTACTGTAAAACAAAAAAGCAAAATATATATATATACACTGGAGAAAACTGCACATACACATATCTGTTACAATGGCCACATCCTTTAACTAATTTACAGTTACAGGTCTTGCCCCTGTTCTAATGAGGGTTTTTGTTAAGTCAGATTGAATGTGATGAAATTACCTCGTGTAATTCATACTGATATAAAGATATATTTAGTAATAAATCCAAAGTAAGAAAAATACATTACATTGAAATGTACTATGGATGTATGCTTTGCACAATTTGTGACAATTAATGAAAATCCATGCTGTTCCAAGAGAAACTTTTCAACTGAGTCATTGCAAGTTCAAGACTTCAGTTTATTCTTGTAACACTTGTAACTATGTGCTTATATTTGGTTGAAACACTGACCCTGTAAGTTCAAATGCTATTCTGTCACTTACAATTGAAGGGTGCTTTCTAAAACAACTTTCAGTAAACAATTAAAGCAGATAAAACCCATCAAAACTTTAAAAGAATTTCAAACTGTAAAGGCTAATTGACATAACTTAAGAATCTTGTTAATTATTTGTAGCTTGAAGTATTCTTGTTCTGATGGCCCAGTTTATTAGAGCCTCTAACATAGTGGGAAATAAGCTTAAACTGGCTTTCTATATCTCTTATTGATAAACAAAGTTTATCTTCCCCATCATTCTCCAAACAAATCAATGCAACTGCTCAAATGAAACTGTAAGCAAATTTTGCCATCATGTGTTTTGCTATTCTTGTCTGACATCATCATCATCTCTGTCTCTATGCATACTCACTCTAATGTATAATTATTAGCTACTTACAAACTGCTATAACTGATTAGCTACTTACAAACTGCTATAACTGATTAGCTACTTACAAACTTCTATAACTGCAAACTGCGATTGTTTAACTTCTCGAGAATACTTTTATATGTGCTATATGATTTTAATTTCTTATAATTTTAAATATCTAACTTATGAATGCTTTAATTAACATGCTGTTTTGTTCGTAGTTTTATAAACTATATTTCATGTGAATCTTTTCTTCAGTCTGAAGGAACTGTGGATAGTAGTACAACATCACCTTCCAGCCCTCTGTCGAAAAGTGAGCATACTGCAACGGGTGAGAGCATATCATCCTCTGCAAGTGAAAAAGAAGAAGGTAGAAAATATGTTTTTATTTCATTTTGAAAGAATTTTATAATTATGGTGAATTATAATTTTTTTCTAGATGAAGGATTTAGAACATTTGTATGATGGTTAGTCATTCAAGATGTTTGTTTTTTAACATTTATTTAAGGATATTTGTTCAGGATGTTTGTCTTTTAACATTTATTTAAGTATTTTTATGTCAACAGACAATTGAGTTGGCTGTTTTTTCAAAACAATTTTAACTATGATATTGCCCCCCCAGTGGCACAGCAGTATGTCTGCGGACTGACAATGCTAGAACCCGGGTTTGGATACCCTTGGTGGGCAGAGCACAGATAACCCATTGTGTTGCTTTGTGCTTAACTTCAAACAAAAAAACCATAATATTCATCTATAGACTATGAACTGCTGGAAAAGCTGTGGAAGAATATTATTCCTGGTATGCAGTGGCAGAGATGTTAAAAATGTATTTGGACATCCAGAGAAGTATACATGAGTTGGTTAATTTTAGCTTCAAAATTTTATGGATTAAATAAATATGTACAGTTGTAATAAATACAGGTATTTTAGTTGTAGGTAATTTATGATATAGGAATGTTTTTCAGTGCCTCATAAAAACCAACCAACATTTATAGTGATAATAGTGTATAAGCTTGAACATGTATCCTACTGCCAGCTTACCCGTTTGTTTTAGGCTCATTAGTTACAGCATTGTACACACAGATAAAATAATTAGTGGAGATCATATATCAAACATATATACGTATTTTATGGGTAAGCATTTCTGACCTATTCTGAAACAAAAAATATATCTGGAATATTTTTCTTTGTAATAGAAACATTATTCACGTTGAACAGTTTGTACAAGTTTTGCAAACCCCAAGAATATAATCAAAGTAATTTTCTCAATATAGATATTAAATGTTTTTAATGCCTGCATGAAATACAAACTTAATCATGGTCAGTTTGGAGTGCAAACAAATTTCCTTCACTTCTTTCATCAGTTTACAAAAATAACACCAGATATTTCAAAAACGTGGATACACAGAGGTTTTTTGTTAATATTCTTCATGTCATTTTATTTGAATAATTATGGAAACAGTGAATAAAATGGGTATAAAATGCAAATATTATCAGATTGCTCCCCCTCCACTGTATAAAGATGAATTTCACCATAGCAATCACATGTATATATATATTACAACTAATCAGACAGACAGTGCCACATCAGCATGATGTCTATAAAAGTACAGGAAGTTTTACTTTTCCCACCAGTAGTATAGCGAATGCACTCATTGTTCCAGGATAGAAATTACACATGAAAAATGTGTAAAAATCAAATTGTGATGAAAGCAATTCTATATGATAGATTTAGGTGAAATTTCATTTTATGATAGGAGCTGCATGAAAAGTCAGAAGAGTGTACATTTGAGATAACAATCATTGATATTTTGTTCAATGGAAGAAAGGAGAAAACTATCATAGTCAATATGCATTTATAATAAAGCATATTAAGTGACCAATACTAGTGTGTGCTGCACATTAACTAATGGTGTTAGAGGTTTATACAAAATTGATGGCACCATGACTGCTAATAGGTATAGACAGATTTATAATATATTATTCCATCAGAAATGTGATCTGTTGGGCAGGGATCTGTCTTCCAGCAACAAAACAAAGGATGTAGCAAATCATATCAAAATGCTACATGAAAGGAAAAAGAGGTTGATGGAACACTCACAACCATGTCTTAGATTTTACAAATATTTTAAAATCTTTATGAGCTTGTGTTCTGTTTGAAGCAAGTACAAAATACCTAGTGCATTGTACAGCTTACTTTTGTATTTTTTTATAATGTATTGTACCAGTGATGCTGATCATTTATTGTTTATGACTCTTGTAAGCACCTGTGTGTTTTCAAAATTATTTCCAACACTGTACCTCATTCTTAATTTCAAGAAAAATAATCTTTAATAAAAATGAAGTATTTTGTTATGTTACTTCTACAGTTCTACTTGTATATTCAAGATTGGTTTTTACTTAATAAAGACACTTTAATCACAGAACTGTATTGTGTTTATTTTGATAGTCTGGAATATATTTATATAGGGTATTGTACATATTAGGTCAGAGTTTCAAGTTCATTTGTACAGATAAACTGAAGATAAACCAAAATATTTACATGCTTCATTAATTTTTTCTTCTGGTATTTTATTTATTTGATATGTTTGGTTAAAGCTTTTAAAATGATGTTTCTTTGCATAGTGTTCTTTACTTCATCTGAAAGAGGAAGAATGAGAGACAGAAGGTCTTTCATGGGAACCTTAAGAAAGAGGTTAAGCTTGAGGAATAACCGATCAAAGTCAGTTGACCAGAAGACTGAAGCTGGAGAGAGTATAAGTAGAGATAGCAGTAGAAGTTTCTCTTCTGACCGCTCCAGATCTGTTCCTCGGGCCCAAATGATATCAGCTGATAGAACATCAGGTCAGTGATACAAAAACAGAAATAGTGCTTTGTAGTTCCTGCATAAAAACAGAATACAAAACAGTGTGTGTATTATTCTATATATTTAGTACTGTACATAATATACAGAAATTATGCAGAACTATGTCAGATAATTCTCTATTTATTGGTCTTTGCATTACTTTTTGTGAAAACTTGCATTATCTACTGACATATTTCTTATTGAAGGTGTCATTAAACATAGTTAAGGGATAAATGTTCTTCCATTTAATAAATAAAATAAAGAAACTCTTAGGCCCTACTAATGAAGAATAAATGCATATAAACATAACCTAAATACTTTAACTATAATCTTGTTCTTAGGTTGTTCTTTATATTTCTACTGTAGTGTTCAGTTCACATAGAGCCTCAAAATTGTTTCTTGATAATAAATTAAGAAATTGAAATTGAAGTTTCTGATAATTCTTTCTCTGGTAGGATTAAGAAAATAAATTAGAAATTTAGTAAATTAGTAAATTTTTTGTCAGCATAAACTAAAAACTTATCAAAAATATATCCTAATGAAAGAATATTAAAGACAGTGTTAAAATGATAAAGTATTTTTCGTGTGCTTCAGGTGAACTTTGTCACCTTAATATGTATGAGACTTCCTTGGTTGGTACTCCCAGTCATTGTTTCATCTCACAAGGATTTGTAATTTTTGTATGTTAGATGACATTTCGTATGTATATTCTTGGAAATAATAAACACCACAAAGTTCAAAGGTTGGCTAGGTGTGACCTGATAGTTAGAGTGCTGGCCATGATTTCATCAATTAGAGTAGCCTTCACTGGCTGCCTTCCTTCTAGTCTTATCAGTTTAGAATTAGGGATGGTTAGCCACTGTTTCGCTTTGCAGGATTATCCATAAGGTGGAGCTTTCATATGAATATTTACATATTAATTTTCTAAAGAAGCTTTTACTTAGAATATTTAAAATCATAGCACATCCTCTTACCCTTAATAAGTGTTAGGAATTGTAATACTTCAAAAAGTTTGAGGATCTTGTAAATAAAAGTTGAACAAGTTATTTTCTAGCTTATTTTACATTTTCTGGATTGTAATTATTAATCAGTATTTTCTATTGTATATATGTGTGTGTGCATAAATAAATAAATATACAAGCTGAAATACCCATCAACTGATGGGGAATGATTAAACTTAATTAAAACAATGTAAGTTTAACAGAAATAATATATTTCAAAGTAATGACTTGAACGTAAACTGTGTCAAAATTTTAAAGTTATAACAAAGCTTCTTCATAGAACAATATTTGTAGTTTGCTGTCCATCTACTGACAAATAGAGGTTTTGAGGTGACCCCACCCTCGACCATCTTACATCTCATTTACCATGAGAAATAATCCAGAAACTTTCATACTTTGACCTTAAATTCCTTTATAATATTCAACTTTGTCTAAAGTGTCAACCTGCCAAGATTGTTTGAGATTGACTGAATAGGCTGGGAGTAATTGACCAACAGGCTTTACAAAATAGATATAGGGTTTAAGTTCAATTTTGACCCTGTTAGGACATTTCTCATAGTTCAGAGTGTTTACAAACAAATTTTGGTTAAGATTGGCCTAATAGGCTCAGAGGAGTTAGGGTGCAAACAAACACGCATTTTGTCTTTATATATATATAGATATGTATGATTCTCACCTGTTTGTGCATGAAAATTTTTAAAAATTTTAAATCATATTCATTAATTTAAGTTTGTTTGATGCGAATGTGTGCTTAAATGTATGTAAAAACTAACTTTTATTTTTTGTGCTGTTGGTTTTCAATCTGTCTGCATTTTGAGTCATCAAAATCCTTTACGTAACAAGGTAAGTACTTTGAAATTTCTTAACTACATTTTGATACAAAATTAAGAACATGTATTCTTACACCACTTTCTTTATACATATACAGTTACATTTGTCATACTGTTTTATATGGGATATAGCAGTAATACTAAATATACTGGTACACGTATGTAAGAACAAGTATTCTTACACCAGTTTCTTTATACATATACAGCTGCATCTGTCATACTGTTTTATATGGGATATAACAGTAATACTAAATATACTGGTACACGTATGTGAGAACAAGTATTCTTACACCAGTTTCTTTTTACATGTACAACTACATTTTTACCTCTGACGTCGAAGGTGGATGGAGGTTATGTTTTCACCCCTGGTGTGTGTGTTTGTCAGCAAGATTTCTTGAAAATGGCTGAAAGGATTTGGATGATAGTTGGTATACGTTTGGACTATGACCCAACTTAGAAGTGATTAGTTTTTGGAGGGTCAAAGGTCATAGTCACAAAAATCCAAAAATCTCTCTTTTAATATGGAGACCAATTTTTCACACTATCTTAGCTCTATAACTCATTCAAAAATAATCAGATTTTAATGAAACTTAGTGAGCATGTGTAGAATAATTTTCCTCATTGTCCTGCCCAAAATAGTTCGTGTCCATTGATAAGGACAGTAATATGGACACATTTCCTTATTTTTGAGAGCTGAATATGATCAATGCTGTGTGGCAGAGGTATGCACTCTATTGAGTGCCCCTCTAGTTGATACTGTTTTACACGTGACATAGCACTAATATTAAGTATACTGGTAAATGTATGTAAGATGATGTTCAATTTTTTGGAAAAGGGTATGTGAGTTCTTTATGTAGTGCAATGTGTTTATTAAGAACATTTAAGTAATGCATGTAAGATAGCTGGATCTCATGAATAGGTTTGTTTGTTTAGTTCGGTATAGATATATTTTGCCTTACACTTTCAGTATGTGCTGCAATGTTTTGTTTTCTTTACGTAAGTTGCTGTCGTTTAATTGGTTTGCATGGTTGTATATATATGTGTATATAAACACACACACATTTTCATTTGAGCCCAAAATTACTTCTTTAATGTTTTAAAACAAAGTTAGACATGACAACGTTGATCGCCTAGCCTTTATGACAGCCTCAACATGATTGGTTGTAAAAACGTAAAGTACTGAACAAATGATCATATATCTAAAACTCTGTCTCTTAAAAAGCCATTGAATTAAAATTATCTTTATTATGATTCATACAACCTATAATTAATTCAATCAGGATTAACTGGTTAATATATCTGTGGCTACAAATATATTTTTTTTACATTTATTATATTTATTAATGACTTTAAGTTTTCAAAAATAATTGGTTTGCCACTTTTTTTCTTCTTGTAAGTTGGCCTAGTATTTCATATCTTTGTTACTCTACTGTTAGGTATGTTGTTCATCACACTCCACAAAAGTTGATAACAACTGTGTGAATTTACAGCTGCCTTTATTTAGTTTCCAGCCTTTGTAGAGAAGGAAATGTTCATGTAATGTCCACTGAAACTGCAAGAAAAATTCGGAACCTATTCACTTTCGTAAATAAACAAATACATCGTGTTCATTAATTAGGGCCTCCAATGGCTCAGCTGTAAGCTTGAGAATTTATATGTTAAAAATCAGGGTTTGATATCCATTGTGGATACTGCACAGATAGACCATTGTGTAGCTTTGTGCTTCAATACAAAACATAATAAAAAAAACACTTAACGTAATGGGTGTATGAACAGCCCATAGGCTTAGTCTTTGGGTTTGACTTTACACTCTTTACAAAGAAATTTATTTGGATTTTGGGTCATGTTTTCAGGAGCAGAGCACACAAGCCACCTACTCGAGGATGTTTATATGTGGAATGAAAAACTCACACAGAGATAACTGAATAAAAATCAAATAGTCTTTATTTATACACTGTTTATCTATATTGAAATTCTCAAGGTTATCTTGAAAAAACACTAACTCCAAGTCATTGAATTCTTCGTCCTGAAGATCTAGGTGTTCATTAATAAGGCCTTCTATTATGTTCAGTAACATAGACACAACATTAGTTACCAACTAAATTAACATGAAATCCTCTCAGTCATAATTTGTGTATTAACAATTCTTTTAAGATATTTTTAAGTAACTCCACTTTAAGCATTTTCAAATCTGCTATTTCTTTAGTAACATTAAGGTTCTTCACTTCATACATTATTGAACTGTAAGTGAAACACTGTTAGACAAGATAAGAAATAGCATACTTACAAGGAGTTTTTGGTGTGAGCTTCTTGTTGATTTTGGATTACTGCCATCTTCTGGAGTCAGAAAAATTCCCTGGAGCAACTTCAGATTTTAGTTTGAAACACAGAATTATATTCAAGAATCTTAGCAGATCTACTATTTCTATTAATTCGATTGGTTTTTGGTCGTTACAGAACTTATTTATGTCCCTTATCTAATACCTTTGACAAAATTACCCAAGACAATTAACTTACGATGTAACTCGTATCTCTTTACTAAGATTAATTCACTCAGTGATTTTCCCTGCTGTCTCATTAACAGTTTTTTGTGACATTGGTTTATTTCATCAGGAGCTTTATCTGAACAATTGGGGTTTTATCTCAATATACCATGTCTGTCTTGCACTAGAGTCTGTAGCTGTGAATTTTATCGCCTCTTGATCAAGACACAGAATTTGTTCCAGACTAACTCCTGCAGTGGGTTTCAAGCCTCATCTTCCTTATTTGTTATTGTAGTTCACTGGTATCCACGTTTTTTTTAATTTAAACTCTCATTACAACTCTTGCACTAGAGTCTGTAGCTGTGAATTTTATCGCCTCTTGATCAAGACACAGAATTTGTTCCAGACTAACTCCTGCAATGGGTTTCAAGCCTCATCTTCATTATTTGTTATTGTGGTTCACTGGTATCCACGTTTTTTTAATAACGTTTTCGATCTGCTGCTTTCTCCATACTATACATCATATACATTAAAAAAATACAATGTAATTCTTGAAAACCTTTAAATTTGTATATACTTAGCATTTGTATTCCGCAAATACTTCATTAATCAGGGCGGTCACAAACTTGGAACACCTGGAAAAGGAACAAATAAAAGTCAGGGAAATTAAAAAAATTATTCCAAACCTAGAAAATATGGGGAAATAGTGGATCATCCCCATTTTCTGTCGCCTACACTGGAAACATGCACAAAGCATACGGCTTAGCTATGCCAGTTATTGATATATTTTAACATAATTCTGGTCAGTCACTGTTATTTTATCTGTTTATGCTTACCTAACTCATTTTGTTCGATGACAAGTTAGGTCAAATATTCCTTTATAAATAAAAATGTACCATTTTATTGTCTACAATCAGGTTTCAATGTCTTTGTCTGAAGATCTTTTCCTGTACTACTAGTCTGATATGAGGATATACTGAAGGTTTTTATACCCCATTATAACTAGCTTATGAACTAAAGTAGTGTTAGGTTGGTCCATGAAGAGAAATTTAAATATACTCGTACATGGGCAGGTTTTGAAAATCTGGAATTTTGCCTAGAAAGGCTGGAAATATTTTATGGAATATTGTTGCCACCTTGTTATTAGTCAAACTACAAATTCCTTAGGTTTCTTTATACCCATTCTGTACTTTAATATAATGCAACATTTATAGGTTTTCTTTACACCCACTCTGTACTTTAATACAACTACAAAATTAGTAGGTTTCTTTATACCCATTCTGTACTTTAATATAACTACAAAGTCTATAGGATTTTTACACCCACTCTGTACTTTAATACAACTACAAAATTAGTAGGTGTCTTTATACCCATTCTGTACTTTAATATAACTACAAAGTCTATAGGATTTTTACACCCACTCTGTACTTTAATATAACTACAAAGTCTATAGGATTTTTACACCCACTCTGTACTTTAATATAACTACAAAGTCTATAGGATTTTTACACCCACTCTGTACTTTAATTCAACTACAAAATCAGTAGGTTTCTTTATACCCATTCTG